ATATTATATTTGAACTTAATATTTATAATTAATTGAATTAATATCGAGAAAAATTTTTAACAATTAACCATGTCGAAGTATTTTAAATTATTTTCTAAGAGAATTTTTGAGGTATATAATGATATAATGAATATGATGTTTTATATAACATGATTGGCCAGTGAAGATCGAACTCACTAAATGACGGGTCTTAATTGATCTATCGAGACAAGCTTAGTTAACAGAGATAATTTAATCTTTTTAATTTCTTTCCCGTAGATATTGATTGATATATATTTATATAAAATGCCTTTGACCTTATAATTGCTCGACTACCGATAATTGTGGTAATTTTTATAAAAGCAAATCCACTTAACTATTCGAAGATAAATATATTAATTTGACTATTTAATCAGAAGATAGTAATATTTGCGTATTTTTTTTTTTAAATTTTTCCATTTTTTATGCCGAATTGTAATTTTTATAAATCAATTCAAAATTATCCTTCAAAGTCGGCGGCATGAGAGTAGATAAACCACTGCTAAAAAACTTAGACAACATATTTTTTTCTTATAATAGCGTCCAACCAATTTAAAAAGGATTGGGAAAATGACCATTAATGTTCAAATATACGGTATATAACACTATCTATCTCAGTTCAGGATCTATCTATAATCTATCTATCTATCTATCTATTGTAAACTAGAAGGTGTTTAAAATGAATGAGAATAACCAAAACGGAGGTTGGAAATGAAATGGTTTTTTGCAAAAAACAGCAATAAAATATAAAATACTTCATGCCAGCGGTATGATTAGGTAAACCACTTCTAGTGGTGGACTAATTGTCATTTTATTACGATTATTTTCCAACCAATCTTAACGAGGTAGGATGCAATGTGGCAAGACCAAAGTTTAATGTGGGGAAGGACTGAAATATTGAACTTGGACGACAAAATATTTTCATAACGTTAAATATCTGTTCTTCAATTCGGAACGAAACTGAATTTTTATATTTTCGACATTTTATTAACAATTAGATTTATTAAGTTTTTTTACAAGATCTTTTAACGCTTTATCGACTCTTTCGTTAAATTTGATTTTGTCTACAACATTAAATCTATTAGTTCATATTGTTCTCTTTCTTTTCTGCAGAGTTACCCACCGTTGGTAAATTTACCACAGAAGATCTTTATTCCAGGTTCGTTGAAGGTTAGTAATTGGTTTTAATAGTGTTGTGATGGGGACTGGAGGGATGGGATCTGATTTTTTTTCAATGCTTCAACTTTCTGCAAAAATTATTGAAGGCATATGAGATGAATGGAAAGAAAAAAGGGAATCAACTTTGTCCTTTAGGCCAATTTTATATAATGGTAATATGGTACCGTCGTGAAAGGCTTAACAAACGGAAATTTCTTTTGAAAAAAAGATTTAACATTTTGAGAGCTTTTTTTAGATTGAACGTTATATAATTCTATTAGGGTCAAGTTTACGTTTCCCAAACTGATTTGTATTTTAAACATCAGCTTTAAGTATAGATTATGAAAAGTGGCATGTCCCATTCATCAGAATTTATATAAAGATGGGTAATCTTGGTTCGGTTGGTGTCAAAAAAGGGGCTTGATTTGGAAGATTTGTTGAAGCTTTGTTCACCATTATCTATGAATATAGAATACAGCGCAGAACAGTTGCTGATCTGTTCAATGAAACAACGTTAAAGATTAATTTTTACGAGTCAGACACTTTACTGAATCTGACTATATCGCCAATACCACCAGCAGCTGTTCCGTAATTATTCAGTCTTCGATATCAAAGGCTGCCATATTGCATTTTTTATTATTACGCTTGATTTTAAATTTTTACATGAACTCGTCAGACCAGGATTAACGTGGGATCTTTAGATAATTTATAATCTATAATAAAATATTATTTATTTGAACGCGTATAAACATTTTCAATTTTTTAAGCGAACGAGTTCATGCCCTTCGGTTTTTTTTACTTTTTTTATCAAAAGATTTTTGGAATATTTTTCGGAAAAAATGGCTTTTTATACGCGTCGCATTGAATATTTTGAGCCTTCTGATTTCTTAAAAAAAATTTATTTAATTGAACTATAAAATGAGTTAAATCATTTTGAAATTGGCTACTAAAACAACAGGGTAAATAAAAATTTTTTTAAGCAACGCCATGCCGGTTAATCATTAAGATATTACGTTAACTGTTTTGATTGGACATTGAAAACATGTCTGACTATGTTTTTAGATTTCTGTTGTTTTTTGTCTTTTCCTTCCGTTTACTTAGCTAGTGGATATCTGCTCATTGTCCCCTTTTATTTCTATCCCTATTTTCTTTAGTTTAATTTAAAATAGAGAACTCATAGGATACATAGTAGGAAAAGAAACACCTGAGAATATTTCACTTTCAGATGGTTTTCAGATGAGAAGAAAAAAAGGTAACGCATCATTCTTGCTTTTGTATTCTGTTTATTTGGGAAAATTATAATGTACTTGTTAAAAAATCCCATTACCTATCTATCTATCTATCTATATATATATATATATATATATATATATATATATATATATATATATATATATATATGTATGTGTGTGTGTGTGTGTGTGTGTGTTAAAATGAATATTAAATATTCTTATAACTTGGAAGTGATAAATTTCACTAGTTTAAACCACGTTTTAAAATTCAAAAAGATAGAAAAAAAAACAACTTTTATTGTTTACAGAATTTAAAGATAGGTAAATCATGTACAATAAAATTATAAAGTTAATATTTAATACTGTAAATGAATAATATAACTAAAATTTGGATCATAAAATAATAAACAAGAAAAATTTAATTATGATTTGGAAAAAGAGATTTTCCTTAACATCAGAAAATAGAGCCATGATAAAAAAAAACGTCCGTTTACTCCGACATCAGCGTTCATATCCATATATATAGTAGGAGTGTATGTGTGTGTGTGTGTATGAAATGTGCATGTAAGTGCGTATGTGTATGTATGTGTGTATGTATACAAATGTGTTTACTAATTCCTCGTAAAGACAGTGTATGTATGGATTAAGGAATATACAGACGCATTTTATATACACGCATGCTGACAGAAACGCACCAAAATGGAAACAGATCCAAAAACACATATAAAATGAAAAAAAAATTAAAAGATAAAATGCCGATAAGACAATTCATCATTTCTCTTGGACCAAATTTAATTGTTTTATGACCCTTTTATTATAGAACTCTTCATTTGCCAATTCAAGAAAGACATTCATATTACTAACATAAAAACAGAAAAACAATGTCTCATATCAAGAATATTTAACATTGAAAAACATAAGGAAAAAATTAATTATTTTTAATAATATGTGGAAATCTCCGTCTTTTACCTGAAGACGGTCACGAGACCAGAAACCCGTTGTAAAATTATAGAAAAAAAAGCAATCTTTTTATTTTTAATATACATACTTTTCTCTCGTTGGAACCACTAAAACCTCTTTCTTTTTATATATATATATATATATATATATATATATATATATATAGATATACGTAATTTTATATTTTTAAGTGGATACAAATGATTTAATAAAGGTTTTTTTAATATATAGTTTAATTAGGATTTATTGATCATCTTGAAAAAGAGATTTTCTTTTTTAATAAATTAAACAGGGGTTTAGCATGTATATATATATATATATATATATATATATATATATATATATATATATATACAGAGCAACATCGGTACTCGAACGTCTCACATGTCCAACAAATCGGTTTTCGAACAGAATATTCCAGATGAAAATACGTCACTTATCCAACATAAATTTCGGTTCTCGAACAACATTGCCAAATCGAGTTAACCCGAACGGAATCATTCCTGAGTTGACCTCGACCGCTATGTTGTATCCATTCGTGCGTTGTGCTGTGCTTTTCTTTTCCAAATTTATTGTACTGTGCCTTTTTTTCTCTTCATTAGTCCTCAGTCATGGCTCCAAAGAAAGCTAGCAGTGATTCTGGTAAAGGAAAAAGAAAAGTTAAGATAAAATTTTTGTCTCTATGATGATGATATTGTCACTTCTTACTCAGCTTCATATGGCAAAATCAACGATCTATATTATTCTTATAAATAAAGAGACGATCATGTCTTTCCTTCCCTTTTCTAAATAATAACATCACTTGCTTTCCCCTTCATCTTACGCCATCAGCTTTCTTACTTACAGAAACGTAAGATTAAAATGTTTGTTTGTATTTTATCTGTTTAAGATTGGGTTTATTTATTTATTTTTTTTAAATTTAATGTTTTTCATTAGTTTTGTGTATAAAGTTGTGTACAAAATACTGTTATTAAAGTTTAACCAACTTGGGATCAGGAACGGATTAATTCATTTTACATTGATTCCTATTGGAAAAAAAAATAGTTTCCGTTTACAAACATTTCGGGTTACGAACTGGCTTCAGAAACGAATTAAATTCGTGAACTGAAGTTTCACTGTACTGCTTTCGGTGGAAATCTATACAATCTTCCTTTTAAAACAATTTTACAGGAAAATAATTTTTCAAGTCCAGTAGCTGTTATCGCTTTTTTCAGTATTCCTTTCAGGCCTTTTGTTTGAAGTGGCGTGGAACATCAGCATCTTGATTGTCATTATTTTCTTATCGGTTAACATCTGCTATCCATTTTAGTAGTTGCTACTGTTGGTAGTCCTCAAGTGATGTGGTTTCTGTTATTTGGTACAGTTCTTTGTGATTCTGTAAATAAAGTCTACAATGTTAAAAAAAAGGATGATTTTGCCAAGATACCTAGGCTTTAATCGCTCAAAGCCATTTTGGACCATTGTAACAAAGCATTATTAAAATTAACTTTCTTGCGAGAGGCTTTGAAAAGGTGAAAAACTAGAAAAAAAACAGATGAATAAATTATTTCTTTAAAAGAGGTTTAATTGCAATTTTTTATTTAAAGTATATTGTCTTGTCTTGATCTTAAGATATAAAGATAATAAAAGAACGGGATAGATAGATAGATAGATAGATAGATAGATAGATAGATAGATAGATAGATATGAATGGAGTGTGATAGATAGATAGATAGATAGATAGATAGATAGATAGATAGATAGATAGATAGGGAAGTGAGATGAAAATATTGATATAGATAGATATATATGAAAATACTTAGATAGATAGATAGATAGATAGATAGATAGATAGATAGATAGATAGATGTGAAAAGAGATAGATAGATAGATTAAAATATTTAGATAGATATATATGAGAACAGATAGATAGATAGATAGATAGATGTGAAAAGAGATAGAGAGAGAGATAGAAAGCTATGAAAATATTGAGATAGATAGATAGATAGATAACATTACTTGCTTTCCCCTTCATCTTACGCCATCAGCTTTCTTACTTACAGAAACGTAAGATTAAAATGTTTGTCTGTATTTTATCTGTTTAAGATTGGGTTTATTTATTTATAGATAGATAGATAGATAGATATGGAAACAGATAGATAGATAGATGTGAAAACTATTATAGATAGATAGATAGATAGATAGATAGATATGAAAACAGATAGATAGATAGATAGATAGATAGATAGATAGATAGATAGATTAAAAGGATTCTATTTGTCAAGTTTATTTTTAAAAAAAAAGAAAATTGGTACTATACAACAGATGCTCATAAAATATTGAATGACACATTTTCTTTATAGTTAAAGGGTACTGTCTTGTCTGGGTCTTAAGATTTGTTTCTTTAATGTTTCGATGTAAAAAGTTACATTATCTTATGAGAATTGTGGTTAAATATTCAACATACAGAAACAGGCTAGATAATGATATCATCAATGTATTTGCTTTTATGATTAAAGGTGAAAAATATTCAATAAATTTCCACGTCAGAAGATTTCGAAATTGCATTTCTTATTGAATTCAGCACAAAATGCTTTCTTTTATCCCGTGACCAGTGGTCGTAGGTGCAACATGCGTCCTGCAACCACATTAGAAGTGATTTTTCTTGGGCTAGATAGCCTGACGGAACCCAACCTTCTCCAGACCGGTTTTGAATTCAGAGCTTTTCTTTCTCCTAGATTGGTTGCCATACAAGGTGATAGAACCCAGTCTGTCCTGCTATTTATCCATAGCTGGGAGAAAAAGAAGAAGAAGAAGTGGATTCATACTTTTTCCAAAGACATTAGCATGTCAGTGAATGTAATTGATTCGACTGAATTTCGAACTCGGCTCTCCGATTCCTCAATCCGAGCCGTTATCCACTATGCTTACTTTTACAATGAATATAAAATAATGTAGCAAGTCCAAAGGAAATAAAATAAACCTTACACTTATTTTAATTAAATAAGCAAACGTTATTCAAAGTGTCACAGGAAAAAAAAATTGAAATTCTCAAGCCGACTACAGTGTCGAAATACCGCAAGCTGAAACTAAAATGTTCTAGAAGCACGAAGCTTTTGAAATAGGATCCAGTTCTGGCCTGTAGTTGCATTATGAGTAGGCTGTAGTATACAACGCCATGCATAATTGCGACTGTTATACTAGCTAGAAGAAGGACATGTTGCACCTTATAACTTCAAGATTTCTTTAACTTTCGCCAGGCCCATGATATGTTGCCAGAGATTGGTCCATTTTCCACTACCAAAGTTAGATATCACAATCCATTTTACTGCTTTCCTCTAGATATTTTTTCAGATTAAGCAAAATAAAAATAAATAAATAAATTTTCTCATTAGCATATATGCGTTTATGAATAAACATTTTATAGGAAAGAATATTAAATTAACTTAAATTGAAAAATTCCACATGAAAAAGAATGATTTCTAAATTACAATTTCAGTGAAATTCGAACAAAATATTTACTTTTGGACTAAACATAAAATAATATATTCGAAGGAAATAAAACAAAGTTACTGTAAATGTAAAAACAAACATTTATTTGAATTTCTTACGCCGACAACAATATCGCACTTTCGCAAATCCAAACCCAAATTAAATGCGTCGTTACAAATTGAGCGAAGAGCTTTTAAAATAAACCGCCTGTTCTGAGTCTTAGTTAAAATAAACTTTATTATCTGGTATAGAACACCATGCATAATTTTGACCGTTATACTAGCAGGAAGGACAGGATGTACGTTATATTATTCTCTGGCCACTGCAGGTCTCAGACCTTCCTTAAACTTCACCAGGCCCATGTCGTGTTGGTAGAGATTGATGTATCGTCTACACTGGTTACCTTATCAAAGAGAGAAACAATAGTCCGCCTTACTATTTTATTTTTCTGGAGCTGCGGGAGAAATAGGAAAATATCTATCCTCAAGAAAAGAATGCTTCCGAACCCAGTGAGATGCGGAGCTGTTGAAATAGGCCTTCAGTCTGGCCCATAGTTGCACCATACGTAGTCTGTAGTATAAATCACCATGCATAACTGCGACCGTTGTACTAGCGAGAAGGACATAATGTACGTTGTAAACGCCTCTTGCCACTCATTCTTCAAAATGAACGCTCGTCAGGCCATTATGTCCACATTGAGATAATTATTTTCTCTGCCACAAACACAATTGAGAGAAATAGCCTCGGATGGATTTCGAACCTAAACCGCCAATTCCATTGTGATACTCATTACGATACCCACGCATGTCGTTGTCACGATAATTTTGCTTCATGGCGCGGAGGTCGCAAATCGCAACGGAGGGAAGGTATAAATTATTTTCAGATATTTCTTTCACCGGCTTGTCGGTATAAAATTATAGATCGATAGATAAATCGAAGTTTGGGGACTGAATGACCCTGATCGAATTTCTACTAATACAGGCGGTAATCGGTTGTTGGGAAGATATAGAGATAATGAAAGAACGGGATAGATAGATAGATAGATTTAATAGATAGATAGATAGATAAGAATTCAATGAGATAGATAGATAGATAGATAGATAGATAGATAGATAGATAGATAGATAGATATATGAACAGAACAAAATATAGATAGATAGATGTGAATAGAATGAGGTAGATAGATAGAACATGAACAGAATGTAATAGATAGATAGATAGATAGATAGATATGAACAGAATGAGATAGATAGATAGATAGATAGATAGATAGATAGATAGATATGAACAGAATGAGATAGATAGATAGATATGAACAGAACAAAGTAGATAGATAGATGTGAATAGAATGAGGTAGATAGAGAGATATGAACAGAATGAGATAGATAGATAGATAGATAGATAGATAGATAGATAGATAGATAGATATGAACAGAATGAAGTAGATAGATAGATATGAATAGAATGAGATAGATAGATAGATAGATAGAAAAACAGACTAAAATAGATAGATGTGGATAAGTGTATGTATATATATATATATATATATAGAGAGAGAGAGAGATAGATAGATAGATATGAAGAGGATGAGATAGACAGATATAAGCAGACTGACATAGATGATACGGTTATAGATAGATAGATAGATAGATAGATAGATAGATAGATAGATAGATAGAAACAGTTTGAAATAGATAGTAAGAAAAACAGATAGATAGATATGAACAGATTGAGATAGATAGATAGATAGATAGATAGATAGATAGATAGATAGATAGATAGATAGATAGATTAGCACACAGTGCCGGATTCTGTTAGTCAAGTTTTTTTCCTCAAAAAAAATAAATTTGCTATTAACTAACAGATGCTCATAAAATGTTCAGGATATAGATAAATTGAAATATGTCATATATCGTGTGCGTTTCAGGTTATAAAATATATCAATCAACCAATATCCTGAAAAAGGAGATGTCTTGCTTTGGGTGTGTCACTCTTTAATATACAACCGAATGGCAACACAAAATGTTACTTATAAACAGATTCAAAAGATATAGGCCGCAGAAAGGTATATTTTAAGCAATATCTATATGCTTGAATAAGCTATTATTTTCTCATTTTACATGTTAATATGCGCTCGTTGAAATTCTAGAACCTTCATCAGGTTTTCAACCACTGATTCTGTTAGCTGTTCTATGCTTTCATCTTTGACATTAATGGCAGCAGTTTCTATTCGTTCCCAGCCATTTTTTGTTTTATTTTTTGCTTAAATTTTCAGGATATACATATATTTCAGCTTATATATCCTCATATATCAGCCTATCACGATCAGTCAGTCAGTTATGTTCCATGCGTCATACACGCTTAGGCGATCATGTATCTTTCGATACATGACTGACGAGGCAGATTTTTTTTTTCCCGCAGTAAGCTTCCATTTCTTTCTACAGTAGACTAGTTGCCATCCAATGCTACAGAACCCGGTCTGTCCTGCTATTTACCTATGGCTGGTAAGGGTGGGGGGCGAAGATGAGGATTCATACCTTTCCCGAGGGTATTAGCACGTAAGTGAATGTAATGGATTCGACTGGAATTCGAACTCGGCTCTCTGATTCCTCAATCCGAGCCGCTATCCATTACTCCTTTTCCCGCAGTAGGTTGCCATTTCTTTCTGCGATAGACCAGTTGCCATCCAAGGCTATAGAACCCGGTCTGTCCTGCTATTTACCCATAGCTGGAGGGAGAAAAAGAGGGTTCATAGCTTTCCCAAGGGTATTAGCACGTAAGTGAATGTAATGGATTCGACTGAATTCGAACTCGGCTCTCCAGATTCCTCAATCCGGAGCCGCTAAATAATGACGAAATACCGTAACCTTTTGGATTTTAGGAGCATCAAATATACTTTTTCATAGTAGCATTGGTGTGTTGAGCAAGACAGCCTGACGGGAGCCTATATCTATCTTCGTGCTCATATCTATCTATCTATCTATCTATCTATCTATCTATCTATCTCTCAGTCTGTTTATATCTATCTATATATCTATCTATCTGTCTCGAAGAGAAAATAATCAAATTGTTGTTTTTCTACACCACTTCAGACAAAAAGATAGAAAGGAAATTCCACTCAATACGAGAAAGGACGATAAGTTATTGGACCTGAGAAGTCTATTTTCCTGAAAATAATACTTTAAAATAAATATTTTATAAATTTCTATCGACACTAATGTTAAATAATGTCGAATGTTTCCTGTATTCACGATCAGGATTCCCGTAAGCCAAAAGGCTTCCACACGAACTAAGCGGTGGTGTCTCCTGCCCAAGTCAGCTTGACGGAGCCCAGTCCTCTACAGCCTGTTTTGAAGTCAGCTGTCCTAGACTCGCTGCCAACCAAGATCTATAGGGCCCAATCTGAACTACTATTTACCCTTAGCTGGGGGGAAGTGACGGATCCATACCTTTCCCAAGTGTATTAGCACGTAAGTTAATGTAACTCGGCTCTCCGATTCCTCCTCCATGCCTATATCCTTAGTAAATAAATTGATAATTTCAGTACTAGAACACTAGACTCAAGCAGACGCGGAAGTTTAAATATCTGGAAAGCGTTCTAACAGAGGACGGCAAATGCGACACTGAGATCCGTAGACGTATTGGAATGGCCAAGGACGCATTCCAAAAGCTGGACAACGTATTGCGAGATAGGAGGATTTCTTTGGTAACGAAGAAAAGAATACTAAGCTGTTACGTGACATCTGCCCTTCTTTACGGCAGTCAATAATGGACGGTCTCCTCAAAGACGAAAAAGAGACTCGAGGCGACGGACATGTGGTTCTACAGAAAGATGCTAAGGATATCATGGACTGAGCGTGTGAGCAACGATGAGGTCTTAGAGCGGTTTCAAACAAGGAGGAGGCTTATACTTAACATCAGAAAGAGGCAGTTGAAGTTTCTGGGACACATAAGAAAGAAAGGCCTGGAGAATTTGATACGCAAAGGTCGAATAGAAGGAAAGTGAGACAAAGGAAAAAACGCATGACATACCTAGAGGGCTTGAGCAAGTGGATGACAAAATGTGGTCTGGGGGAATGGCAGAGGGAAGAAACTTGTTAAAAGCTGCAAGGGATAGCGGGAAATAGAGAGCTATGATCGCATACGCCATGAAAGGACATCGCACATAAAAAGAAAAAGTTTAGCAGTTTGGTCCCATTCTTTTTACAGCTGAAATGGCTAGATGTTCTACGCTAATATTTGTTTGCCTTGCATTCCCCTCGCTTGATGAACTCCTTTCCGTCAATTATTTTCTTTTTTTTATTTTATCTAAACGTTATTTAGTAGTAATTTTCCAAGCGTAGCTCAGATGTGGCACAAGGCCGACATTATGGAACTCACTCCTCAGTCGTAATTGTTCTAGCGAGACAAGCTGCCTCTTTCTGATTACACCACCTCGAGATGCCTAGTGATATTCCAAGCGTAGAAATTATGGGGCACCCAGTGAGGATCGAAGTCACTACTCAGTCGTAATTGTTCTAAAGATAGACAAGCTTGAGCCAAGACAAGACCTCAGATGCCTAATGATTTCCAAGCGTAGCTTAGATGTGGCACAAAAAACTAGTAAGGGGCACCCAGTGAGGATCGAACTCACTACTCAGTCGTAATTTTCTAGAGAGACAAGCTTAGAAAATACACCACCTTTGAGATGCCTAGTGATTTTCCAAGCGTGGTTTAGATGTTAACAAGGCCGAAAGTAAGGGGCACTCAGTGAGGATCGAACTAACTACTCAGTCTTAATAGTTCTAGCCAGACAAGCTTGCTAACCATTACGCCACCTCGAGGTGCCTAAAAACGTTATTTAGTAATGCATACACACATTACAATAGATGCTCGCTTTATTTAATAAACTGTATATTTATTTAGTGTCATCTACTGGCCTGAATATTCGAGATATCCTATTTAAAAAAAAAAATGCGCTCTAAAGCCGGATACGAACTTGCGTCCGCCTGGGCAGGGAAAACGTCGTTAGTTCCGACGTACTTTAGACCCCTCGATCACGAAGTGCGTCGATGGTCAAGCAAAATTGTATAGTGTCTTTAAACGCCATTTCTTACCGACATTCGAAATACGCTGACGTGCCTTTGACCGCTCGGGCCACAAAAATCGTTCGGTTGGTAAGGTTGAATTTACTGTTTATATGACGGTTCCGTATAGGATGCAGGTTCGAATCCTGTCAAAGGACAAATATTTTCTATGAAAATTTCTATATTCAGGCCGATATAAATGTTATTTAATACTGTTTATTATAAACAGAGCATTTACTTAAATACTTGTATCTATAAAAAAGAACGTTAAACATAAAAAAATGTCTTTAATATATATATATATATATATATATATATATATATATATATATATATATATATATATATATATATGTATATATATATATATATATATATATATATATATATATATATATTTATAAACACTGTGTGTGTGTAGATAGATAGATAAATAGATAGATAGGGGACTTAAACACAAGTATTATTAAAACTTGTAAGAAATGTTTCAATGCATTTACCCTATAAATAGCCCAGGTGTCAAAAACGATACTTCGGCTATTTATATTCCACTGAATATTTTTTAAAGAATTAAGTCTGTTAAGCATCTTTGTTAAAATTCAATAATTGTCCATAAGCCTCAGCATCGAACCAAAACTAGTTATTCCATAGGAATTTGTTGAAAATTTGAAGGTGTCGAAAACGACACCTTTTATTTATCCTAGTATCAAAAGCCAAATCTGTAGTCCCGCCATCAGGTTCATCGAATAAAGTTTTGCATTCATTACTAAACATTATTGTTTACAAATCTGTTTTTATTTAATCCTGTGATTTATCTTGACCCTCCACTGAACCAGGTTGTGACACAAGGTCCATTTTTAACCTCGAGACCTGAGTGTTTCCACTCCGTTCTTTTCTTACCTTGTCTAAACTGGTCATAGCATGAGTCAAAGCCGGTCATACCACCGCTATGGAACAGATGTTACTGAACAAGACCGAGGATTCTGTCCACGTAACCTTTCAATAAAGAAGGCCTCTGTTGGAACAAAACTTCCCGGCGGGAAGTTCCTCCGCTCTCTTCTTCCTGTTTTCATTTTTAAAAATGTTCACCCAACGTTTCTCTCTTTTGATGTTTACTTAAGAACCAGTTTGATTGCTTTTATGTTTTCAGTCTGTCTTCTTCCGTCGCCATGTCTTTTTTTCGTCTTCTCTGTTTGCATTCTCAACACCAGCCTCTGCAAATATACTCTTGCTGGTCAATTCGCTTTACTTGCTTCTTATTCTTTAATATTTCTCTCTCTATTTTTCTTTTTTTTTCCTTTTTTTTTTTTTTTGCATATTTTAAAATCAGTTTTATCGTGTTCTTCTCATGTTTACGTGTTCAGTTTCATTTGCGACGGTTCTGTGATATATTTTAAAACGTTTTTACAATTTCTAATGTTGTATTCCCATTACGAAGTAAATTTAAAATATCCTATTTCCCTTTTGAGATTTTATCTTTCTTATGACCCATAGCAATTTTTATATAGCGGAAATTAATAACTCAAAGACACTTTACAGATATAGGTTGTAGTTTTTACCACTTATTTTCCAAGAACTTATAAAAAATCTTGGTATTTATCTTAGCTAACGTTCAGATTTCTCCATTTTGAAAAGACTTATAATTTGACTGTTCAAAACTTCCCCCACTTCTGTCTTGTTTTCTCTGTCTAGATAAGGTACTTTCTCTTTTAATAAGTTTGACATTATATATATATATATATATATATATATATATATATATATACAGGATGAAAATGTACGAACGTGAGTTTTAAAACTATCATAATGTAATCAACTGTGAAAACTACAACATATATTTTAAAACCAATGTGTATTAAATGGGATTTATGAAATTACAACAAATTTTATATTGTTCCTCCATTTTATTGTATAAAGAACGTTGCACGTTTGATCAAATTATTGACAGATTATCCATAACTTGAAGTGTGCACTCAGCTTCTCCTATCCCACACTAGCAGCATGCTAGTTAACATTCGTGTCAGTCAGCTGTTGGCTCTCACGAAGCCAATAGCATTTTCCTGCCTATTCATGGCAGCCAGCTATAGGCTCTCACTCTGGCCAGTAGAAAATGGCCGCAAACTACATGAAAACTGAGGTAGAAGCATGAAAAAATCCATTATTTCCACTATCGATGAGAGTTGGGAAAGGCAAAGTCGGTCTTGGACTTGCCGCTAACTTGGAGTATGTGCATGTAAATTTT